TCATTTTTCTCTGTCTCTCCTTACTAGATACAACTCTTCCTTTGTCTATGTTTAACCATCCTTCAGAACCCAATTCAGGTATCTGTACACCTAAGACACTGATCCTAATCAAATGAAACCACAACATAAACTTGATCCATAGATACTTACTTATACTTTAGTCATACGCACCTCTGTATGAAATCTGAACTTGATTTTTTAATTTAATTATAAAGTACATAAACCATATTGTCCATCAGTAGTTTTATTTTCTTTACTGTAACAATGCTTATTATCCACCACCTCCAAATGTTTATTTAGACTGGTACTATACAATAATCTAAGATTTATGTTATGCTAGCATTTCCAAATCAATTGTAATTAAGTGATACATAATGTCCAGAAAAATAGTTAGTTAGTACAGCCTCAAAACATCTCTAACTAGCAAAGGAGAAGCAACTTTAGACTGGAAGACCCAGAGTTGCTCAAGTAATATTGAGACAACAGTTATAAAGAATTCCTTTTTACTTGGAGTTATATATATATATATAAATTTTATTTTAAATCAAGTAATATTTGGTTTTAAAAAATACCCAAAACATATGCCCTTAAAGACATTTTCAAAGGTTCTGCCACTAAAATTGTAGTAAGAATAATGTGGAAAATTCCAGCTATCCAAAGAGAGACCACTTTATAAATTCTGAAAAATGTTAAATCTAGAAATGTTTTATGCTTATTAAAAACCATATGAAGTGTTTTAGTAATATGATTATTAGCAATAAAAGGTTAAAACTTACATTAGGTTTTTTCCTTCAATTTAGTTCATAAGTAACTATTTTAGTCACTGTATTTATGGCTGTGTACTAACAAAATAACTAATAAGATAACCTAGAGAACAAAGTAGTATTACTCATACCCTTGCTTGGTGAGTTCTTTGTTCCATTATTTATCTATACACAAAATATCTAGAGAGGGTAATACTCTTAGAACTTATTTTTCTGCTTGAAATAAGAATGAAAAAAAAAAAAACCCAGCAACAAATATAAAATTCTACATTAGATCCTCTACCTACAAAATTCAGTGTTTCTTTCCTGAAGTCTTGAGCTGTCCATATGCATATATTGTTGCTTCTGAATTACAAGCTGATTACATTTTATATCATTCTGTAGGAGAAAAATGATGACATTTTATGATGTTAAGTTACAAAGTATAAACGAAGGGTATATATAAAAGTTTTCTAGAGTAAGTTGTCATTTTTAATATATTCTGCCAAATCCATGAATATAAAAACCCAGCACTGCTCAAAAGAAGGGCATGCCAGGAATGCACAGTGGGTACAAGATCAGATAGCTGTGTGGGTCTTTCGGGACGGCTGTGAGTAGGCGTGACCTGCTCCAGGCCCCCTGAACTGAGGCGGCACCGGGTGTGCCAACCATCCCCCAGCAACTCTATTCTGGTCCATCATTCCCCCACCAAATCACTGAGGGTTATTTGTAATCCATTTTTCAATGAAAATACAGATGTCAAGTAGAGGGGAGAAACACTGACTACTCTATGAAGACTTGTAATTTATGGAAATAATTTTGAAATTAATCATAAATTTATAAAAAATTATTTTCACATGATATATAACTCTGTACTACATGTTATGTAAACCAGAAATAAATCTATCTCTACATTATCAAGAAACATTATATTTAGGTCCTTAAAATCAAATATCAATATCAAAACATAGCCCAGTTCTATGATTTAAAAGTATCCAATTTATGCTTAAAATGTAATTCTAACCTTATACTTAAAAAAAATTTTCCTGCATTAAAAGTAAATGTTTATATCCAAAATTATAATTTATTCTAATAAACATGGATAGTTTAGGATTAATATCAAATATCTAAACATCATTTGTGATATAAAAGTAAGAGAAAATCAAGAGTGTACTAGGAATCTTTTCAGCTCAGCTGAGGAACAAAACAATGACTACAGATAACAAGCAAAGTGCCATGGAAAGTCGCTGCTGCTGCTGCCGCCATTTGGGCAGGGTTTTTATTTTACTTTTATCCATGATTATATTTTAACTATTTCTACTAAAATATTTAACATAAAAAATTCATTTTAATTAAATCAAAACAAAACAAATGTTAAGAGGGCAGAAAATGGACTGTGTTTTCCTGTTTTATTTGTTGTGTAACATCTTAGAAAACCAGTACCATTGTTTTAGATAATAGAAGCCTCCATTTTAGGTAAGCAGAAAAGCAGTCTTTACCATGATTTAATAAAGACAACATGGTTATCTGCATAAAGATTTGGATTCAAAATCCTTTTGCATTTGGGGATAATGTCATTAAAGATTTACTTTCCAAACAGTATTCTATTTGGTCTCATATTGACTGAAGGTAAAATAAATTGCTATTACTTGAGCAATTTTCATTCTCTGGCACAAAGAGCCGAAGAATTATATATCTCACAACACAATCTACAGGTCAAGTGTGAATTCTAATGTTTCTTTAAATGAAAATTCCTTTATACAGTATAGGAAAATACTGACATTTATTAGCTTGTCAATTAAAAGGGATTTATTATAGTTAAAATAGTAAAGTTAAAATAACTTGGGACATAATTAGCAAGGGAGGATATTCTCTCATCAGTCAGTGATAAAGAGTGAATAAACAGATGATTACTTTTCCTTTTGTACACATACATCAAAAAATATACTGTGAGACTTAATCAAGTTCCTAAGTTCAAGGAAAAAATCAAATTTTAAATGTTTTGCCTTCAAAGTATAATCATGTAAAAACACAAAAATTCTCAAAAAATTTCCCCCACAAGCAAAGGGAAAAGGTCAACATCCTATTTCATACCTATCTTTTCTTTCACATCAGAAATATACATTTTATAAACAGCTAAACCCAATAATAAATTCTTCAAGAGAAAAACTTTTAAAATGAATTATTTTATCAACAATATCAACTCTAATTTCAACAAAAAGGGAAAATAAAACTGTTTCATAGAAACTTTAGAAAAACATCTGGCAAATAATAAGCTCACTGGTTGCAATGGCCTCATATTCTATTAAATGCCAACATTTTAAAAACTAATTTCATGAAAGAGACATAAACCAAGAGAGAAAAAATTACTAAATAATTCATTTATATTGAAAAATGTGGCTCAGGTTGAAGTGACAAAAGGGGGGATATCCAGGGGAGTATTCCATATTTTACTGAAAGACTTCGAAGTTTTTTCCTCCTATTAAACAGATAAAAACTATTTTGAGTGTTCTCTGCTTTGATCCCATTCTCCCTGCACAAAGTAAAAATATTTTCAGCCCATCATGTGCTGGCTGCAATGGAAAGTACTAACTCTAAAATCTATCCCAAGTCCATCTACTTCTTGTTATCTTAACTTTTAGTTCATGCCACTAACCATCTCTATTCTAGACCACAATGAGAACCTACTAAAATGGTATTCTTGCTTTCACACTTACCCCTGTACAATCCATTTTCCAAAGAGTAGCCTAAGCAATCTTTTAAAACATGAACCAATTCTTGTCATTGCCCCATTAAAGATCTCTCAATGGCTTTCAACTCATCTTACAGAAGTAAGAATCAAATGACAGCCTATAAGACCATGGGCAATTGGATCTCTGCCAATCTCTCCTTGACCATTTTTTTCATGCCAGCCTCTTCCATCCTTCAAATTAGAGTTTCTCACCCTTGGCACAACTGACATATTGGGCAAGACAGTTCTTTGTTATGAGGACTGCTTGTGCATTGTAGGATGTTTAGTATCATCCCTGGCTTCTACCTACTAGATGACTGTAGCACCATCACCCCCAGTTTTCACATAAAAATATGTCTGCAGACATTGCTTTTAAAGAAGTCAAGCTCATTCCTGCTTCATGGTCTTTTATCCTCTCATTCCCTCTACCTGAAATAATTACCCCCAATATTTGAGCTGTATAACTGGTTCCTTATCATTTTTATCTCAGCTTAGCTGTTTTGGCCTACTCAGAGAGGCTGTCTCTAATCATCCTAAGTAAAGCTGTACCCATTTCTATTATAGCTATAGCCCAGCTCTTAACATAACAGAGTATAAAGTGCTCAAAAATAATTTGAAAGAATACAAAAACGTCATTATTTATGAAAAATGCTAAAGTGGCAAAATCATAATATTTAATGTATAATACCACAACAGCACTTGGATAGTCTCATATACTGCATTTGCTGCATCTTTCAAATGTACACATTCTAATGCACCATTAATTCTTTCTGGCAGTATTATTGTCAGTTATAGAGAATGTATACTTGTTCATAGTGCATTAACAAAAACAGTCCAACACCGAAGCATGCTTCCATAGGGTGGGGAACAGAGAGGCATTTGAACTTTTCAGAAGAACATCCAACTTACAGCTAAAAACAGACATGACAAAGGGAATCCTGCTATCATTTACACAAATGGCTCACCATTATATCTTAGCAGTCACTCTTTAATTTACCTTGTTCTAAGTGGGTATGCAAAGGTCAATAATTCTCTTTTTTTAAAAAGACAGAAAAATATAACCAGTTATTTCAAAAGCAAAAAGCTATAATGAGTTAAATGTGAGAGTTAAATCTTAATAGATCAATCATTTTGTGTTTTCATGTGAACTGGTAAAATCCAGTCAGGTGAACCACATGTTGAATATCTAAACCTTCCAAAATTGTAATCCCTAATCAGTTTAGCCCAACTGGATCTCATTAATTCCAAAAAAGACTGATTCACTTATGTCACATGGGGTCTTTCATTTACTTCTGGAGTTGTGTTTGATATAAGTACTTTGAATATACATATATTTCTTCAGAACATTAATGCAATTTTTTAATTATCATGTCATTGCTCTGAATTGTTAAGATATATTTCTAGATATTTAAAAATTATCACTGATTTTAAAAACTATGATTCATCAGAGTGTTTACATTAGAAGTTTTAAACAAATGTGATCTCTCAGGCCAGTGTGTGAGTGGGAGGAAAAAGCCAGCACATACCAGTTGTGCACCATGAGCTTCTGCACAGCCAGAAGAGCGTTGTAGCGAACCTGCTGGTCTTCGTGGTGCATATGGTTCATCACCAGTTGCTTCCCACCAAGCTGTTCAATAACCCTGCACAACAGAAGTCGTTTTGTGAAGATACTGCAATTACTTTCAAACTCATGCTGTCAGTCAGCAGAAGGCCCAAATCCCAAAGTGCCAGGAGATTTTAAAAAGAGAAGTTACAACACAGGTAAGTAAACCAACACATGTATTTTTTTTATATCATTTTCTCCAAATCACAGATTTAAAGTATTAAAATTTTTCCCCTTTTGAATTTCTAATTTTAAATCTAATAGTTATTCTCATTTCCTAATCTATGCAAATACCATCTACCTGGATATCTCATGTAGTATTCTATAGTTTTCTCAGTTGTTGAGCATTAACTTCTTTAGTGTTAGTATTTCTGGCTTGCTTAAAATCACTATCTTGAACATCATCTAATATCCATAATATCATCAGATTAATATTAAGTCCACCAATTGCCATGCTGTGAGACAGACGTGGGCTCAGGTGAAGACAGCAGGGAATATAAGGTTAAAAAGCACCCAGTAGAAGCCATGTTAATTTCCTGAAAAAAGACTACTGATTTTTAAGATATCTGTTCTTTCTGGTAAAAATGAAATACACCAAATGACCTCCTGGGCACTCAGAGGAGAAAATTCCTCTTGTCAAAAGCACCGAGCTGATTGACAACTACACTGCTTTCTATCACTGCACCCCCTAACACTCTGAAAAATCCTGTTATCACAGATACAAAAGTAAAGTGAAAAGGGTTCTTTGCTTCAGGAATGGAAAGAGGTTTTCTAAGGATGTGGCTGTGGATAGAGCTGTGGAGTCTCTTAACTTCAGCACAACAGTGTGGATTCTCCAGTCTGTACTGCCTAGTGGGAGACATAACTATTACATAGTCAGTGACAAGTGACATAATGCAATAGGGCTTTGGTGGTTTAAGACAACCTCACAGATGGGTGGATGGAGACCAGAGATAAGAGAGAAGCCTTTATCTTTACACCTTTTTATACTTTACTTTTTAAAGCATTTTTTTTTAAAAACAGACACAGTATTGAATAAGAAAAAAGTAGAGTATAATTATTACCAAACATTAGTTGCTTGTAATGTGCTAGGTACTGTGATTTGAAAACACTACTTTATCTAATATATCAGCTCTGCTCTTTAGCAGGTAAGTTACATTAGGGAAGTCATTTATTAGTGTAAACTCCTTCCTGTCTTAACAAGGATGCCTCATTTACAGTACTGCTGTGAAGACTAAATGACATAAAGCCCACATGTCTTCTGCTATGATGATGGAGGAAGAGGAAGAGGATACAAGGGCTGCTCCCCTTCAGTCCAAAATGATATTTCCAAAAATCTAAATTATCACTTGTCCTGCTTAAAACAATGGTTGACAAGGCCTTCACAGTTTGACTTGGTCATGCAGCCTGTACTCTGCACTTTGACTCCACTTGCCTCCTTTCAGGTCCTCCAGCCACAGGTCTTGCCCCATGTTGTTTTCTCTTCCAGAAGCTTTTCTTCTACTCTTCATGTAGGTAACTTCTATTTATCTTTCAGATCTTGATTTAATTGTCCCTTCCTCAGGAGAGCCTTCTCTCCACCTTTATTACATTCACCCCCTAATATGCCCTTTTCATGGCGCTATGCCTCTCTCCCACACTGTATTCATCTAAGTGTTAATTTTACACCTGAATGATTATTTTAAAATTATTAAATTTGCCTCCCCCATTATAATAAGAAGATCCATGAAGACCAAAACTCTGCATTGGTTTTGTTTACCCTATGTTCCCAGGGCTAAAGGCAGAAGGCACTCACCAAATACCAATTAATTATATTATTATATGAATATGTGTTATATTAATACAAGTAAATATATATTATTATCCAGTGTCAAAATATCATTGTTAAAGGACAAGTAAGCCTTCAAAAAAAGATAGATTGCAGCAATACTGCCTGAGGATAATCCTCCTTTAATGGCTGTAACATACTAAAATCCCAAATAACAATATTAGCAAACATTCACGTATCACTATCTGCCAGGTATTTACTTAGCATTTTCCATTACTAACTCTTTTAAGAGTAGCCTAGGAAATCCATGGAGAGAGATAATAAAGAACAGAGATTAAAAGAAAAGTACACAAATCAGGAGTAACACTCAGAAAAAAGAAAAGTCACACGTGCTTAGAAATATTCATTGTCAGACTAGGAAATAATGACTTGCCCAACCTGATAAACTAACTAAACATCAGTTTACTCTTTGTAATCACATTAATTTTTTGAACTGTTGAAACTGGTATGTACATATGTACATAACAAGATGATAAGAAACTCTTTCTGCCTCAGTTTCAACTGCGGTGCCCAATTAACAGGTTAACAGATACTAAAGTGAATCTGTAAGAGAACAGCACATGCAGAATTTACAAAGAACTCTAAATATTTCTAATCCCCTTAAGGAATTTTATTGAAAACATTAAAGGATCTAGGGAGGGGAAGGACGATTTGTGATGTTCTACAGAGGTACCAGTCCACACTGCAGGACCCTGCCTTACAGAGAAGAAAAAGGTGGTGATGGTTTCTAACCTCATGCCAAAGGAAGCACATGCAGAGATGGGTGTTATTCCCTGAAGCTGGGAGGACTGTGGCCTGTGTCTGAGAGTGGCACAAGCCTGAGAGGTCTCAGCAACCAACAGCAGCAAGGTAGAGGGGGCTGTGTTAGGATTCCCTAGAGCAAAGGAGTTCAAGCGTCACCAGAAATAAGATGAAAAACAAATGGCTCATGCCAACCTACAGATGCTGCAGTGGGATAGTCTGGGAAAGGTGCCTCCAATGAATGCTAAAAAGTGCTCCCAAAGGAAATTATCAGCTTCAGACATCTACCAGGGTGAGAGCACATAAAGCCATCGATAGCATGTGAGAAACACTCTGTTCCCATCACCCTCACCCCTTCCTCACTTACCAGCCTCAGGGAGACTGAGGCAACAGCAGGTAAGCTCAGAAAAGGAGAGCTAAAAAGGGACAGGATTGCCAGCCCTCGCCTGCTGAGGGCATCAAGGAGAGAAGTCCTACTTTTGAATAAGTAATGAAAGGGCTACTAAATGTCTTGGACTAAACTCTTTCTATTATTTAAAATGACTGCAAGGCTGTTATATAGGGTGAGGAAAAAAAAGGACTGAGGTCACCTAGGTTTTCATCTAGAAGCATGGAAAGATTATCATCACTGGATAAATTTTAAAGGGAATTTGAGGAACAAACATAAAGTTACTCTTATTTTACCACAAACTGCATATTCAACTGACCAATCTAGTGTTCGTGTGCATGATCTACTTTGAGGGGGTCAGCAGGGCGAGCTTCTTACCCCTGCTCTTTAGCACAATACCCTTTTGTCCCCTGACCTTGCTTACTCCTCTTGGGCAGACCTCTGTGATTGGCAAGTTTGGAAGCAGGAATCCAGAGGCACAGATCCACCCCCTCCTTTCTCTTCATCAGTCCAGTGTTACCTGGGACTAATGGGTTAGTCTAATTCTGAGTTCAGTATCCAAAAGGCCATCTGTGTATTGTACATGAGTATACCACATTTTTCAATATTGACTTTATCAATAATTGGCCTCCATCTATTATCTCCTTTGTCATGCTTCTCAAATAATTCGGTATTTAGGCAGGCAGGCAGGAGGGGAATTATTTATTGGGCTCCTTCTGGACAGCTCCAACACATGGAAATACAGTTGATTCTCATTATCCACAGTAATTAAGTTCTATATGGTCACCACTAACAATGATTAAGTGAATAATAAAAATCCTAGAGGAAATCCAAGGTTCCTAAAAGCCTCTGCTCACAACACTATCATTAATTGATCAATGCATAATCTTGTTTTATATGTGTCTGTATAAAGACACCTTAATATATATTATCTATTCATTAACACTGAACTCACAGCAAATACCACTCTAGCTCATGTGTGAGGGAAGCTTATATAATACACATATTTTCTCTGTGAGGCACATCAACCCTTCTTATGCTGAGGATACTAGATAGCACCTCAGCAAAATGCACAAAAAAAAGTACAAACACATGGCACTAAACAGAGCACATAAGGAACATTTTTTCATAGTTCAGAGCTAAAACAGGAAGGTAGAGCATCACCTTGTTTGCCTTCAGTTGGGAATATATGCGTCAAATGACTCAAGTTTCACTTTGCACATGTCCACAAATGATTGTGAAAGCTTGAATATTGATTTGGGGGTTTGAAAAAAAATTTTAACAAGTAAGCAAATTCACAAATCTAGAATCCATAAATAATGAGGATCAATGGTATATGAACAGCATAATCTCAGAAAGCTACCATACTATGTGCAAAATATGACAAATGAAAAAACATAAAGAGTCACACACCGTTAATAATGATGATGATCGTATCACTTTTTCTACATGTTGGTCATGATGCTGAATGCTTCATGTGTTTTTTTCCTCATGTAATCTTCACAACAAATGTACTGCCTGTCCCTCTTGAAAGTTGTGTTTTTTCACATTTTAAACCCTTGCCCCCTACATCTTCTCATATTAACACCAGCCCAGAAAATTAAGGAATATGCTTTTAATAAATTATTTTTATATTTATTTACTACACATTTATTTTCAAACAACACATGTTACTGCCCTCCACTCTGGAGATTCCACAGTGAATGGATTAGACAATCTCCACTCCACTGACACACACTGCTATAAAAATAAACAGACAGTTCCCATCTTCTAAATTTAAGACACAAGTGAACCACCAATTACTTTCACATTATACAGATGTCCAAATTCATAAGTGCTTAAAAACAGTGAAAAAAGACTCCAGTTAGCAGATTAAGATGAGATATCATTTTTAAAAATCAAATATTTAAATAATTTAATTTAGAACTCAATTCCAGTATTTTATTAGCTATTGCCTAACAGGGATAACTTTGCTAACATACTTCAAAACAAGCTGAGTCAAGAGCATGTTAGGCTTCAAAGTCTTGTAATACTATAACACATAATTAACAAGCTCAATACTTGCAATAACATTTAAGGA